AGCATTGCTGGAGAGGGGGGTGCCAATATGATTTCTGGGCCCAAACAAATCCAAGCCTGTATTGCTACGCTAGTTCCCATGCAACATTGACTTTGAGGTGTATGGTGGGTCTTCAATAATGGCACGTTAGATCTAACTTGCTGACGAATCTGAGGGTTGGATTTTGATGGCATATGGTGGACGTCCTGATAAGCAACGCACCTGATCCTATGAAGCAAAATTACATGAAACAAATACTGGGACCTGGGGATCGAACCCAGGTCCTCACACTCAACACCAAACACGCCCTACCATCTGTGCCACCTACCTCATTTGTTAATATAACAATAATAATGTGTAATATATAAAACACGGTGGTTAATTGGAAAAAACGCGCAGAATTTCAAAACAGCCAATGGTGTTCAGACACATTGTCTTCTTCTTCCTTGTCCGTCGTATTAGACTGAAGACCTTTACCTACGGACATGACTCCATAGCTAAAACCCTGCAAGCTTCCAAAATCAAGAAAACACATGATAAATTTAAGGTAAGCACATGGATCGCTTCACCTTGATCCCATGAACACCATAGCCCCCCTTTTCTGGCCTAATTTTACTTGTACAGAGAAGCCCTAAAACGGCTCCTTAAACCCTAGTAATGGAAATCCTGGCTATAGGCATCAAAACGCAAAATCAAACAAACAAAAACCTTCCAAATGACAATATAAACACAATGCAATGTTTAGTAATGATTAATCGTGTGTAAATTAAGAAATCAAATTCAAGCTTGGAGGTGCAAACCGTGGGTCTGTAGATCACGATTTCGGACGTCGAAATGCTTGCAAATGACCGAGATCCCTTCTAGAGATATCCAGGAGTCTATTGGTAGCCTTAGAATGGCTTGAATCACTCTCTAAGTCCAAGAACGATTACCCACTTTCTTGCCAATTTTTGAGTTTCCTTTTGGCGCTTTCACGACTGCTAACCTTTCTTTCTTGCCTTGGCTGCGTTCTCTATATGTACTAGAGTGAATTAGGGTTGTGAAAACCACTAGTATCTTTACAAATTTTGAAGATTTGATTTGGTTTTCATGGTGTATGATATCCTTCCAAATTTGGCCTAATCATGCTCTTTTTGTACCAATTGTCGTTGATTCGAATTGATCTTGCAAGCTCATCATATCTTGGTTGCTAACCTGTCAAAAAAACAAATCAAATCATATCTTTGATAATTTTCATCATTTATTTGATTTAATTCACTTTTTAATTAATGAAAAATCAAAATAAATTGAAAAATGAAGCAAATAATTTGTGGATAAGTATTTGAGTCGTGGACCACATTATAACTGAGGTGCAAGCATAAAAAGTTGGGCCCATTTAGCAAAAAATGCAAATTTGAGCACATTTGACTTTTGACAATTTTGCAAAAATGGTCAACTTGGCCAATGCATAACTCTCTCACTTTTGACCCTAGATAGGTGTTCTTGGACTTTTTAGAAAGCTTAGGATGGCCTCTAAGAAACCCATTTGGTCTCATCTCAATTTAGTCTTCCATGTTCATGTATAAAGCTTTGACTCAAAAGGTGTTTTTTGTTGACTTTTCAAAAGGACCTATAATGTCAAAATTCATATCTTTTTGTGAGTGCATATTCTGAACTTGGGAGCTGAAGATGAATCGTAGGGAATTGCATCCTCTTCAAAATGAGATTTGGATGAGTCATTTATGATAAAGCATGAGAAAGTTATGCTTGGTCAAAGTTGAGTTGACTTTTCCTACAAAACCCTAATTTAGCAACTTTTGGGTTTTGATGAATTGTGAGCAATCCTTGAGGAATCATGATCAATCCTTGATAAAATAATGGATAATACTTCAAAATGAGGATTTTGACCAAAAATCTTGAAGTTTGACTATATGTGGGCCACATTTGACTTTTGACCTAGTACAGTTGATTTTTAGGCATTTGAGCAATTGACTGAGCAAACTTCTTCTGTAAGGCTTGAAACTTGACATGGATGATCTTGAGAACATATTAGGACAATGGTGAGCATTTTAATCCTTTGTGGTTCACACATCTTGATGAAGATGGAAACCCTAATTTGAGGTAGACTGCCTTAGGAGAGAGTTTGTCTGGTCAACTCTTGACCTTCCTTGAGCAATTTGGGGGCCTCTCTTGCCATGTGTTGAGAAATATGGGAGGGAAAATTTTGGGGTACAACAGTTGTCTAAAGGATATAAAACAAAAACGATCTTTTTTCGAGTAGGTAGATGTTAGTAGGTACTTGCTCAAAATAAAACTTTTCACACAAACACCTTTCAAAACAATTTTCAAAACAACTTCGTCACATTCTTGAGGACCGATACAAGGGTTATCATGAAGTAAAACATTTTTCAAGCAAGCACACACACAAGCAATTTAAAAATGAGCAAGTACCTAAGAGCCTGTAGATAACTACGGATAGAATGGGTGCTAACCCCTTCCCTTTTTATAATCTACCCCCCGTACTCAGAAATATCTCGAAAAAAGGTTTTTTCTGTTCTTTTTCCTTTTCCATGATTGGATGAAATAAAATTCGGTGGCGACTCCTGCTTACCGCGATATTTTGCGAACAAAAAACGCAAATCAGTATTAACAGTCAGTTCTGCCACTGTATCACACAATCCAAACGATCTTTGTGGAGCAAAAGTGTGCGACTTAGTTGATCAAAACGGAAATTGGAACTTTGCAATATTACAAGATTGGTTGTTGTCTCAGTGGATTGACCAGCTGCGTTTATGCATGCCACCGCGAGAAGGCAATTTTACTGACGTTTTTTGTTTTGCAGGAACAAGCAATGAGGAGTTCTCTTTCAAATATGTCTTCAATGAAGTATAGAGGTTTGATTTTGATCAGGAAGGTGATGATATTTGGTCTGCTATTTGGAGATTAAATGCCCTAGAATAATGTCAGAGTTTCATTTGGCTCTTGCAACATGACATGCTGCTAACGAATTTCAGTAGAAGCATGAAAGGATTAGGTAGCATTGCTTGCAATTTGTGTGAGAATTCATGCGAGACAACCTTGCATGCTTTACATGATTGTGTTAAATGCATGCATATTTGGAAGAGTATAGTGCCAAGCAACATTATGGGAGAATTTTTCATTGTTGATTTAGATTCATGGGTCAAGTTACACATCATGTATCATGGGGGGAGGAATAAGGATTGGGGAATTATTTGGGCTATCATAAGCCATACTTTGTAGACTTGGAGGAATAAAGAAGAACATACAGAAAACTTTAAAAGACCCATGGATCTGATTTTCCATATTTTGAAAAGGAAGCAAGATTATGATAATGCTTGTTCCATGTATAGAAAAATTTTAAGAGTGGATAATGGAAGTCGCTTACTTGGTTGACAACCTCCTATTACTAACATGGTTAAGTTGAATACCGATGGAGCGCGGAAAGAGAATAAAGTGGAAGGGTGTGGAGGTCTCATAAGGGATCATATGGGAAATGGATTAGTGGGCTCTCAAAGAACTTGGGGTTGTGTAGTGCGTTGCTTGCAGAATTTTGGGGAGTGTTTGAAGGCCTTAGAATTACTATAAATTTAGGTCTGATGAGGGTGGAGGTTAATACCGATTCTCCGTTGGTGGTTAATTCTATTAGGTATAACAATATTAACAATGCGGAGTGCAAGGCTTGTTCAAAGATATTTGTCATATGATCCTCAATTTTGACTCTGTGATAATATTCACGGAATCTAACAGATATGCTGATGCTCTTGTAAACATTGGATGCTCTCAAAACCAATTTCGCATCTATGATAAAGCTCCTGATATTTTGAGAAATTTTTTGGAGGATGATTTACTAGGTTTACATACCCTAGGAGTGGCATTATGTAGTTTGTTTTTCTTTTTGGGCTTGGCCCTCTTCTGCAACCCATTTCCCGTTCTTTCTCTCATTCTCTTACTGACCTACCATTTGACTCTGTATACACTGCTACTATCTTGAAAATCCATCACATATCTGAAAAATAAAAGAACAAGATTACTGCCGTCGAAGAAGAGAAGAACAAGAATCTATGATGAATTTGTAAAGGTGGTTCTATTTCCATATGATTGATTCAGAATTTGTGGGTAAACAAAAATAGGATACTGGTTGGGTTATCGTTTTTAGGAATAGGGTTCATAATTCACACTTTTTTTATTTTCCGGTTAATAAAGATCTTATAAATTATTGGGTCTCAAATTGAGAGGAAATTAATGTTTTACATAATTTCAAACTCAGACTATTAGTTGTTTTAATCAAGAGTTAGCTAAAGTTTGTTAGTTGGAATTGAAAACTTGAAATATATGCTTTAATTTTTTGTGAGAGGGAAGTATTTGATCTATAGCTACCGTGAGAGTAAAAGTGAAGCGTGAAGATGGTGCACCAGAAGGGTACTGATGATGATGATAAACTTGATTTGATTTTCCAGATTTTAAAAATGATATTAAAAATATTATTGAAAATGTTATTGAAGTTATATGACTTTATTTGTTTAAATTATTTTTATAATTAATAATAATAATAATAATATAAATTATAATATTATTTTATGATGCAGCAATGTCATTGATCCATTTTCAACTAGCCATGTCATAGGTCTGGCTGAGAGGTGGGAAAGGACAAAAAAAAAAAAACACATAATACCATAAAAAGGATCAAATAATTGATTGGTATTAAAAAGTTAGAAAAATTAAAAAAATGGGATAAACATCATTCTAATCTTCAAATAAAATTGCATATCATTTTAAATAATGCGCGTCTGATACCAGAACCATACAAACGCACCGGTTTGTTACGAGTTAGGGAGGAAAGGAAACCCATGATAAACTGCTCTACTCCCGCTTCTCTGTAATCACATCGCAATTAATTGATCTACTAATCCATTTGCAGACGATTAAGCAAAACGATCAAAGACACATCAAACTTTGTTCTTGTTAGAAGAATCGTTGGACCAGTGAACTTCAATCTCCAATTCAATCCATAAACCAATAAAATGTGCGCTTTCAGATTATTGACCAGGTTATCGAACACCGCCTCTTACGTGAAAACTTCGAAACCCTATCAGCATCACACTCTCAGAACCCTTATTTTGGAGTCTTCACCTTCTCAATTCGTCAAGCTTCACAAACTCTCTGACGAAGATTCTGGTATTTTGTTTTTATATTTTGTAGTTTGTTTGTTACCTAGTTTTTTTTTTTTTGAATTGTGAATCCAAATGAGAACTTTTTTTGTTTGTTTACAGGGATTGTTGAGGTTAGGTTGGATAGGCCTGAGGCTAAGAATGCTATAGGGAAAGAGATGCTGCGTGGTTTAAGTAATGTGTTTGAATTGATTAATCAGAACTCTAATGTTAATGTTGCTATGATCCGAAGTTCGGTTGCTGGTGTGTTTTGTGCAGGGGCTGATTTAAAGGTTAATTACTTTTCTTTTAATTAAATCTTAGAAGGCACAAACACTAGAAATACGGCACTGACACTTACACACCTTTTTTCAAAGCTGTCAGTGCCACAGAGGAGTGCTTAACATGATTTGTCGGGTCAATTATCTTTTAAAGAAACTTACATTGCACGAGTGTTAGACAATTTATTCCCTTCTTTGATTCTTGTTGTTATTGAAACCAGTGTCTTCAAATAGCGGAGTTATAGCGTATCCAAATTTGAACAAATTGCTATTGTTCTGGAATATGTTAATTAGTACCAAGTGTCAAATAGTTAAATTTGAACTAACAGCTATTTCTCATGATATGAAATTCATGATACTTATTCAAACTAATGGAAATTAAGTTTTACTTATATTTTAGAGTAGTGCCACTTGTGTGTTTTAAAGGTTTCATGTTTATCGGATCACAGGAGCGCAGAGCAATGGATCAATCAGAGGTTAAGTTTTTTGTGAATTCTCTTCGTTCGACGTTGTCATTTCTAGAGGTTAGTTGGCATTATTCAATTATTTACATTCTAGATGTGTACCGACTACTGATCAACATCATATGATGAGATGACCGAATGACATGTGAAGCATCATGCTATATGCTTTAGACATCTTTAGTTTTTTTTCACACTTCAATGTTTTTATAGGATGGAAGAGTGGTGATTTATTTAGCTCATGAGCTGACCCAATTATACTTTTTCTACCTCCGTTTATAGTTTATCTTAGTGAACTGTAATATGTAATTTGATGATGGAAAATTTTTGAGTGGGCTCTACCATGTTCGTTTGATGTGGTTGTACTTAATTTCCCCTTTTTGTCGACGCAATTCCTTGAAACTACCACAATATTTATTACTTTATTCAGGAAATTCGTGTACCAACTATTGCTGTTATTGAAGGAGTAGCTCTTGGCGGTGGACTTGAAATGGCTTTGGCATGTGATATTCGAATATGTGGTAGTCAACTATATTTTACTTTCATGAATCTAATCTATTTGTTTGTTGGATAATTTAGGTGATCCTGAGTATAATGTAAGCACTGGTCTTTCTTTTTTAATTGTTTCCTCTTTCATGGCATAGGAGCAAATGCTCTGATGGGTTTGCCAGAGACAGGACTTGCTATAATCCCTGGGTATGCCGTATACTAATTCTCTTCACCATGTTGCACCTTTGATTCCATCTATTTTTTCCTTTTGTGTCTCCTCAATCCTGCTACCAAATAATAAGTAGATATAAAATTTCCAGATAAATTATGGGATAGATCTGGTCTCATGAAATCTTGTTGTGCACAGGGCAGGTGGAACGCAGCGACTACCTAGATTGGTTGGGAAAGCAATAGCAAAGGATATTATTTTTACTGGTCGAAAGATTAATGCCATCGAGGCGCTATCCATGGGTATTTTGTTTAGTCAATATTCTAATTTCTTTCTCAATTTAGTAAAGAGATTATCAAGCACAGAGACATAGAAGGATCTTGAGAAGGGCTATTTAACTCAAAAAACATTCTAAGACATTCTGAAGTCTAAGTTTTTGTTTATCAAACTTCCACTGTCTTGGAGTTAAGTTGACAACAATACGACTTTCTTACTGGTAGCCATCTCATGCTGAACTCCAGGAAAGCAAAGAGAGAAGCCACCATAAAGAAAGCTATACTCTTGTCACCAGAAAAATTCTAAATACTTGCTGCCTCGTTTCATAAAGAAATTAGGCCACTTATCTCTCTTTTTTCCCCACTAATATCAATGATACTTAACTCCATTTCACAAATAAAGTACTATTTCAGTTATCTCTTTGCTTTCCCAACTAATATCAATGATACTTAGCTTCATGATCATATATACACACAGGTCTTGTCAATTACTGTGTTGCTGCTGGAGAAGCTCATTCCAAAGCACTTGAAATTGCTCGGGATATCAATCAAAAGGTATCTCTCTCAAAGATATTACATGTTGCAACTGGTGCAGTGTCTTCTATGATGTGCCATTTAGAAATGTTGGGATCGGGCTTTTTGTGCAATTAAAAGTCCTAATATAAATAGCAGTGACTGATATTTTTAAAATGTAGATTTTTCAAAGAAGTTGGTCTATTATGAAAAGAAAGAAGACTTTACATACATGTTTTAACTTATAGTGAATACATTGCTATTGCTAAACAATATGCTAACCACAACCTCCATAATTGACACAAGCACCTCCACTCGGATGGATGACACCGATCTGCTGTCTGACAAAGCGCCGCTTTCGAACGTCAAGCAACACGCCCCCACAAAATCTATGTTTTCTGGTGCGTAAAACCCATAAGCCGCCTTCCTGTCGCGCCTCTGCCACCATCTGGTCCCCTTTCTTTTATGGTTCGTTTGGGACCCTTTCCAGCTTGTGGGTCCTGCATTTCATAAATGTTTTGGAGGTTTCTTTTGCAGTTGGGTTGGTTTTTAATGTCCATGATACCTTCCAGAATATTTCTTTGATACAGTATTGGTCAATTGTTTCTGTGATTGGGTCCTAAGGTTTGTTGGTTCAGATTTCAGGCCAACTTGGTTGTTGTGTTTTGCATATCTGCCACTGCATGTTTATTGCTGCTGTTTGAACCATTTACGGCTGCTTTAGTCCAGTATTTGTTTGTATTAGATGGCTGTCCAACATGTTTCAACTTCAGCCAAATTAGCTCATTTCAGTAATTCTACAGTTTGTCTATTTCACTCGATGCAATCATGAATTTTAGATTTGGGTGCTTCTGATCATGTTATTGGTAATCACTCTCTTATCCATAACTTGTCACCTCCTATAATATCTCCGAACATTGCCCTTGCTAATGGTTCTAAGGCACAAGTTACTGGTATTGGTCAAGTTTCACTTCTACCATCTCTTTCCTTGGATTCTGTGTTATTTCAATTAGTAAACTTATTTGTTCTCTCAATTGTTCCATAATCTTTACTTCTTATTTCAATTAGTAAACTTATTTGTTCTCTCAATTGTTCCATAATCTTTATTTCTGACGCTTTCTTTATATAAGACCTAAGTATAGGAAAGACAATTGAAACACGGTCTTTATTACCTTTGCATCTTTAGACATCATTCATTGTTGATTGGGTCATCCAAGTATGGATAAGCTAAAAGTGTTGGGTACCCTCACATTTAAAGTCCCTTGATTGTGAGTCATGTCAGCTTGGCAAGTCATCAACTCTCACATATAAAGTCCCTTGATTGTGAGTCATGTCATCTTGGCAAACATGTTCAAGGGTCTTTTCACAGTATGTCCAAACAGAGATCCAAGTATGCCTTTGATATTGTGCATTATGATATTTGGGGTCCTAGCCACATGCCCTCTATGTTAGGATACAAGTACTAAGTCACTTTCATTGACGACTTCTCCCAATGTACTTGGATAACCTTATTGAAGGATTGTTAAAAAATTATTTGGCGCATTTCAGACTTTTTATTCAGAGATAAAGACTCAATTTAAGAAAACAATTAGAATGTGCGAAGTGACAATGCCAAAGAATATTTTTCTGCATAATTCAACTCCTTAACTTCTCGTGGCATCACACATCAGTCTAGTTGTCCGTCGCATACACCGCAACAAAATGGTGTTGCTGAGGGGAAACATTGTCCTAAGTTGATACAACTCGGACCATTTTGATCAATGCTCACATGCGTTTAAAACTTTGGGGTGACACGGTTCTCAAAGCCTATTATTTGATCAACTGCATGTCATCCTCAGTATTTGATAGTGAGATTCCACATTCTCCTCTTTTCTAAGGACCCTACATATTTCGTCCCTCTTTGAGTGTTCAACTCCACTTGTTTTGTTTGTGATCTTGCTCTCAGTCATGATAGATTGTCCGCACGAGCTGTCAAGTGTGTTTTTGGGGCACTTCAAAGTTCAAAAAGAGTATCAGTGTTATTGTCCATATTGCTCACCATTTTTATGTCTCAGCAAAAGTTACATTCTTTGTGGATACACATTTCTTTGGGACACCAGCTACATTCTTAGATTCTACTCTCCAGGTGCTATCTGTTCTTCTATTTGAAATACCTGTCTCTACTCAGAGACCTCCACTGTCACAGAGTAGCCCGGGTTTTGTGTTATGATATTACTTACAACGGTCAACATGTTAGAGTTCCAGATACCACTCCTACAAATTTTTGTGATTTAGTTCAAGAGGCCGCCCTTCTTTTTTCTGGTTATTCACTTCAATCCTATCTCCTGTTGGGGTCTCACCTGATCCTTCTATTCACTTACCTATTGCTCTTCGTAAAGGTAAACAATCTACTTCTAACATTCATTCTACTTATAATTGTTTGAGTTATCACCGCCTATCACTGTCCCACTATGCCTTTGTTTCTGCCATATCTGCTATCTCTATTCCTAAGATTGTCCAGGAAACTTTATCCCATCCATGATGGTGGCAAACAATAATTGATGAAATGACTGCATTGGAGTCCAGTGGTACATGGAAGCTTGTTCCACTTCCACCTGAGAAATCTTCAATTTGTTGTCGTGGGTCTTTGTTAGTATTAAAGTAGGAGTTAAGGGACAGGTGGATTGTTTGAAAGCTTGATTTGGTAGCAAAATTTTACACTCAGATTTATCGCCTTGGCTATAATGGTACCTTTTCTCCGGTTACAAAGATGATATATGTTTGTCTTTTCTTGTCAATGGCTCTTATAGAACACCGACCTTTGTACCAACTTAATATTAAAAATGCCTTCTTGCATGGAGACTTAAAAGTTAAAAGAGAATATTTATATGGAGAAACCATCTGACTTTGTTGCCCAGGGGTAGTCTGGTCTTGTTTGCAAGTTACAAAAATCAATGTATGGTCTAATGCAATTACGTCGAGCTTGGTTCAAAATTTTAGCAAGGTTATTTGCAATTTGGCATGATTCATTTTGTAGCAGACCATAATGTATTTTCGTACGTTCATCTTTGATGGCAACAAGCAATGATTGTCTAGGAAACTTGTTTGTGCCAGTCAAGAGAGTATTGCCTGAAATTACTTTTGATTAGATTATTTTGGAATAATTTTTCGTCGAACATTGTTATGTTTGTTAGCCTAAAATGAATAGTTAGAGTTGTTTAGAATAGATAGTATGTAGATTTTATGTTTGAGTGTTAGCCTAAAATGACTAGTTAGAGTTGTGTAGAATAGATAGTATGAAGATAAAATACAAGTATAGAATATTCAAAAGAAAACATTCTCTCTTTTCAGTCTAAATTTTTACATGTGAGATAGAGCATGGTTATTGTATTTGTATAGGTTATTCAGTTACAGACTTACAGTAAATTTTCAATAGGGCCCTGTAGCAATAAGGATGGCTAAAAGAGCTATTAACGAGGGCGTGGAAACAGATCTAAGATCGGCGTTGGTTTTGGAAGAAGATTGCTATGATCAGGTGTTGAATACCAAAGATCGACTGGAAGGCTTGGCTGCATTTGCTGAAAAGCGGAAACCAAGGTACACCGGTGAGTGAAAAGAATATTCTGCTGAGTATCTCTGTCAATGTTGCTAGACAGCAATGCCTATCATTAGTGATTAAAGTGATGTACTGAACCTACTGAACCTGGAGGCAACTTAGATGTGAAACTGTCACTACTTTTGCCTCTATAATCATGCAATTTGAGACACTGTATTCATAATGAAGCAATAAATTTCATCTTTTGATTTTCAATGATTTGACTTGTGTTTTTTCTCAATTTATTTGACTGTTGTAAAGATTTAAAATTTATCTCCTTTTTCTTTTGGTGATTTCAAAAGTTTGTTTAGGATGTTTCCAAGAAATAGTTAAACCATCCGGAATCAGCTTACAGAGATAAAAGTTCATTTGGATGATCATTGTTAAATTTATAGTTTGTTTTGAATGTTTATAATGAAATTTATTGTTAAATTTACTTTTACATAAATGTATTTAAATTTAATTTATTTTACTTAAAAACGTATTTTTTATCAGAATTAATTTAATAAAATCAATTTAATAAAATTAATTTTTATCATGACAGAATAAAACTTACATAGCTCCAGGAAATTCATGCGATATATGATTTACCGATGTATTGTTGTTTGTGTGGTTGAGGGTGAGCTGGTTCAGACATGAAACCTGTATTTTGTTTGATTGATTTGTTTGGTCTAATCAAATCTCTCAAAAATTATTTATTTATGGTAAATTTTTAATAATCATAGTAAAAATAGTAAAAAACTCAGTGGTCCCCTCTGGATACATGATTACTAAATCCTTATTTATAAAGTTTGAATTTATTTTATAATTGATTAATATTCACTTAGTTATAAATATAAGTAAATAATCTGCATTAACTTTTTAACAAGATTTAACAATTTAGTCAAAAATGATTTTATAATTTAGTCAAAAAATGAATTTTGTAGTGAAATTATATAGAACAACAACAAAAAAGAAAAATTTATTTGATAAACATTAAAGTAAACAGTTTAAAGTTTATATCTTATATTTACGTCCATATATATCCCTCAATCTATGCTTTTAAAAACATTAATTATAATAATCTGCTGATTTTTTGATAGAATATAAAATAAAAGTATTTATAAATAATATTAGACACAAATTAATTGTTATATAACCCTTTCAATAATGAACATTAATTTTTTTTTTTGTCTCAAACTCAATCAAAATAATCTGCCAGTAGTTAAATACAAACACAACTTGGATAAAATCATAATTAATCTTATAATTATGTTTTTAGTTAAAAATAATGTACATACTTTTGGTTGTATTTTTAATTAAAAATATTCCTCTTTTATTTAATAGAGTATAAAATATACTGTATATCCGTATAGAGCAATTTATTTAATATATATAATTTCAATGAACATAAAATATAGTTTAATACATGTGAAATAACACGAAGTGTTTAACATTGGTTTTTTATTATTGGATTTAATTATTATTATTTAAAAAATATCTAACATTTAATTTTCTGAAAACTATATATGTTATCTATTATACGTTACACAAAAATTGAAACGATTCGTGCAAAATTATATCAGAACTTTGATAGTTAAAATTATTTTACAAATTGCATTTTGAGTATGAGAAAGTTGAGATTATTTTTGACAGAAACATGCATATACATACAAATTGATTGATGGTTCAAAATCTAATTTTTCAAACTCTTCTTCATGTTCATGTATAAGATGCTCTATCCACGAATCACTATCAAATTTGTTAAAATGTTCTAAAAAAATTATCACTCAAAGATAAACAATTTACACATTAAATATAACATTACATGCATATAACACACTAAAAATCATCTCAAAATCTGATAAATCCAAAACTACCTAAAGTTTGATGCCCTGCCCAAATACGATATGAATAAATCTAAGAAACTTAAATTTAACCTCAAATTTTCAAGCATTTTATAGCAGTAATGAGCATAACATGATTTCTAGTAAATAAATAAACTTTCGATGAAATTAAAAAATTATATGAAAAGATTGTTATCTAGTTTTTTGTTATGTATAATATGAAGTGTAAAACATAATCTATTTTTTAAATTTTATTTAGATTAGGTGAAATTTATAAAATTATAACACATAATTTTTTTTTGGCTTTTGCACTCTGATTTTTAGTAGTCTAGAACTCGTGTCGAGAAATTATGACACTGGTCAAAAAATATTTCCACCAAAAATCAAATTCGATATTTTTCAAAACATCGTTCTTCAGTAAGAACTCGTTTACCAACACATAATTTTATTTACAAGTAAATGAATTTCCAATGAAAAAGATAGTTTTAATGCATCTTTTTATATATGATATTTTCAAATACTTTAATTTTTATATATTTATAATAGATAATATGTTTATAATAGATTTTAATTTTTATATATTTATAATAGATAATAGATAATATATTTATAATAAATTAATCATTCTGATTCTCACATTAGAGTCTTTTTAATTTTTTCGCAGTTTTTACACTTCAATAATAAACTCAAGATGTATTCTATGTATTTATCTCAACAACAATACAAAAAAAAAACAAGATGAGGTAGAAGAGATCAAGATAACAAAAGTTTGGTGATATCGTTATTTCTTCATTTTAGCCTTAATTGATACTTTAGTTTCTATCAATGACTATAGTGTATAGGATCATAGTTTCAAAATGAGTTTTTCTTTAAACTTAATTGACATTAGGCAAAAAATTCCTTTTAGCCTAATAAATATTTTAGTTTCTATCTATAAAATATGGAGTTAGCTAAAATTGATTTCTTTTAGCCTAATTAACATTTTACTTTCTATCCATAAAATGATAGATGGTTAAATGTTTTTCTAATAATTGTATTTCCATCCTTGTATAAATTTATTGTTGATGATTTTTCAATTTTTTATTATTATAATCTTCAAGCTTGAAATGTGTTTATTTTAGTAGAAATAGGAAAGAAATAAGTTGGGGAGAGAAAATTTAAAGAGAATTGTTTTATTTCTCTTGATTGATTTGGTGAGAAATTAGGAAGAGAGAATTAATAAAGAATTGAAATGATTAAATATCCATTTCATTAGAAAGTTGATTTTGGAACGAGCAACGGTTAGAATGGCACAAATGATTTATTGACATGGCTGAAAGTTTTTGAGAAATCAAATCCTTCTTGTTGATTATATCCCCTTTAATTCTAGTTTCGTATTTAGAAATTGTTTCATCAGAATTGTATTTGGTTCTAAATATTCATTTGTAGTCTATAGCGTTGTAGTTGGGATACAAGTTTTCATGTATATTTGTGAATAAGTGCAACATATTCTTCTTCCATAGCTTTCCTCCTTCGGGGGTGTGTAAAGAGTTGTTTATGGTTCATGGTTCAATAGTGAAACGTGACAGTTTGATTCAAGATAAAATTATGCAAGTAAGCAATGTTACAATCATGCAAGGCAGCAAGGACAATCATATTTGATGCATGACGAAGTTTAGCATGCAATATATCTTTTTTAAACTAGCGGAGTTACAATTATGCAAGTAAGCAGAGTTATAATCATAACAAGGAGGAGTATTTAAAAGCTTAATGAGATCAAAAACATATAGTTCTAACCTTGCCTTCAAGAAGAGAAGTTTTACTAACTTGAGATTTAACATAGAAGTTGTTAGCATGAAATTAAAAGAAAATATCATTATCCAACAAATTTTAAAACACTTGAGAGATTATTGGAAATGTTAGGAGCATGTAATCAATTATGCAGAATTAAAGGTTTTGAAGAATTTTGTATATGAATTAACGTGTTATCAATATGATCGATGTTAATTAAGTTATCATTATTTACCAAGTGACTACAAACATAATAGAAATAGAGAGGTAAATTGTAATATTCGAAAAGTTCACACAATTATTTATAAAAAAAATCTTTGATTACACAATTTACTTGAGATAGAAAACAAAGATGAATCAACGAAATAAAATAGAAAAGAAGAGGCAAAAAATAAGCATTGAGATAAGATAAATAATTGAAAATTAAAGAGATAAGAGATAGAAAGATCACACTAGAGAATTATTTCAATTTGGGCTAACCATTTGACCTATTTTAATTCCTAAGAGTTTTCTTTTGAGATTTCTACTAAAATCAAACTTGAGATTTTCAAAAGTTCAACCCAAACAACCTTTCAAAAACAACTTGAACTTTTGCACATGATCAACCCAAAAACCTTTCACAAATAAACAAATACTTTATACAAGCTTAACACAAAATATAAACTAGAGCTTTTCTATATTGTTGTACCCCAAAATTTTCCCTCTCTTTTCTCAAGATATGTCTCACAAAGATCTTCAATGGTTCAAACTTGCACAAGTGTTGGCTAGGTCAAGCCATCTCCTCAACACTGATGCCTCAAATTAGGGTTTGGATTTTCACAAGGACAATTGAACTTCTAATGCTTCAATTAACTTTCATGGATCATTATAGACCTCCAAGAATATTCATATCAAGTTTCAAGTCTTGAATCACAATTTTGCTCAGTCAATTGATCAGATGATTGAAAATCAGCTGTATTGGGTAAAAAATCAACTGCAGTCAACTTACAGTCAAACCTCAAGATTTTTAACCAATATCAACATTTTGAAGTCATATTCATCAATTGATAAAGTTTGGATCACAATTCTCCTAGAAAAATGATCAAATTATTAAAAGGGCAAAATGATCAAAATTAGGGTTTTGACTGAGAATGACTGACCAGTGACTTTTGACCTAATACATGACTTAATAGTTTGAAGCATGATATTAAGGATTCAAACACAATGTATTGACCTAATTTTATGGCTCAAATCATTTCTCAAGATCAATTGATTGGTAGTTGAAATTTGGTCAACTGATGAAAAAGTCAACTGATACACTAAAAGTCAAACTTTGACTTTTTGGTCAAGATTGAGTTTCAAATAGCAAGATTCATCAAGACATGAAGCTTTATCATCAAGAAATCAAGAAAGTCAAAAGTCTTTGAAAAAGTCAAAGTTTTC